GCTCACGAAAAACGGTAAGACAAGAGAGAGAGGGAGAGAGAGAGACGACGGCCAAGAAAGATATCTTCCTGACTTTTTAGGGCATACCGTTCTCACGCACGGCGATCTCTGGGCTCCACAAATCCTGTGGAAAGGCGACAAAATCCTAGGCATCGTCGATTGGGCCCTATGCAAGCAGGGCGGATTAGTGGGTTTAAAGGGTGCATGAAATTTACGATATTTTGTATAGACAGTTGACCTGATGCACGTTCTCTCAATGAGCGTCCCAGTCAAATTACGCCATGAAATTACGGAAAGCCTGCTCGTTTACTATCACGAGCAGCTGAACGAGAAGTTGGAGGCGCATGGCATTGAGGAGAAAATTACGACGGAGATGATAAAGGTTCGTTTCAACAACAATCTCTGCTAGCCTGCCCTCTCCTCTTCCTCAACAATCTCTGCTAGCCTGCCATCTCCTCTTCCTCAACAATCTCTGCTAGCCTGCCCTCTCCCCTTCCTCAACAATCTCTGCTAGCCTGCCATCTCCTCTTCCTCAACAATCTCTGCTAGCCTGCCCTCTCCTCTTCCTCAACAATCTCTGCTAGCCTGCCCTCTCCGCTTCCTCAACAATCTCTGCTAGCCTGCCCTCTCCTCTTCCTCAACAATCTCTGCTAGCCTGCCCTCTCCTCTTCCTCAACAATCTCTGCTAGCCTGCCATCTCCTCTTCCTCAACAATCTCTGCTAGCCTGCCCCTGTTGTCATCGAATTTTTATAGAAAGACTGGCACGACAATATGCCATACCACGCCACGTTGGCTGTTTTTGCTGCCGGAATGTGGAGTAATTCACCTGTAAGTAAAACTGCAGATTTTCAAGTTGTTGCCATTCCTTTAAAAGACCAAATTCGACTAATTTTTTTCAGGTGCTAAAACGCGGCCGAGACGACGATGAGGCTCGGATTAACGAGATAATGCAGCGCTGCAAAGCGTTCGTCGAAGAGACCGTGGCAGCACATCAATGGGAGTGAAATAAATCTACCTTTGGATTTTTTCGATTGCACCTTAATCGCTTCGGGGATTTCCCCCTGGCGATGAGCCAAAAAACACTCAACGACACCGGGAACTTCTCAATTTCTGATCATCCGCCCGGATGGAGGAGGAATTTTTGGCTCTCGAGTGTTTGCCCCCTCCCACGTCCCACCCTCACCCCTCTCATGGGGGGTGATGATGAAGCCTGAAGGCTATAAATTGAGAGTATGGGCGGAAATTGGCTGCCGGCGCGATTGTCACTCTCCCTTTAACCCCCAAGAATCTTCGCTAGCTGCCCTGCTCATTTTTTTACAAAGTACTTTCCTGTCACCCTCCCTTTAATCCTAAATGGTTTCTGATAGCTACCCTATGGATACGCTATTAGCTTACGAAATTTATCTCCTGTCACGCTCCCTTAAATCCTGGATCTCGCTAGCTGGCTTTCAGTGATTTTGACGTTTTTCGGGCAAGCTCCTTGCTGTTGCGCTCCCCTTAATCCTCAAGGATCCCTGCTAGCTGGCGTTCAGTGATTTTGTCGTTTTCAAGGCAAACTCTTTGCTGTCGTACTCCTTTTAATCCTCAAAAATCCCGGTTAGTTGCCTTCAAATATTTTTCGGAAAATTGCTGACAATTTAAAGTTAAGCTGTGTTAGCGTCTTTTTCTGTCCAAGCCCCTTTAATTCATCAGTTTTTTGATCCGTTACAATTGCCGAGCTTTGGAAATCCAAGCCCCAATACACTAGCACCCCCGCTCAAGCATTCTTTGATTCCCCTCCCCCCATGAATTGTGTAGGAGGGGGGGCTCAATTTTCCGCTGTTTCTTTCTTCCGTCCCTTTCGGCCCCCCCGTCCTCGGGCTATTTCTTTATTTATTAGATGCGAGGGTGGACATTGGAGCTCTCGAATATTTTTTGGATTTTTCTTACACCCCGAAATGCTACATATTTTCCAAGGCGCCCCGGGCACTCAATTTTCACGCACTTTGGGCCCTTTCCGGGGCCCAAAATGGGTATTTTTGGGTCTGAAGCCCCGTGGCGAGGTCTTCTGACAATAACAATTCTGTTGACGCGACGATTATGGGGCAGTGAAGGAATTTTTGCCGCACTATTTCAGAGCAAAATACGCTCAGCAAATTTAGCTGCTAGTTGTCGTTGCGTTTCCTTAAAAATCCCTGCTAGTCTGCCATCCTGATCCTCAATAATATCTGCTAAGTTGCCTTTCCCTTAAAATACCTTCAAAATAAGTGTTCTTTAAGCCGAAGTCTAAGCCTAAGCCTATGCATAAGCCGAAGCCTAGCCTCAGCCGAAGAATCAACCTATGCCTGAGCCTAGGCCAAGCCTAAACCAAGGCAAGCCTGGGCCCAAGCCTAAGCCCTATACCTACGAACATCCAACCCGCCCTAATTTGCATACCCCCCCGCTACACGTCTCGAAAAACATGACGCGGCCATCTAATCGAATCGTAAGGGAAGGTGGTGGTCTTCGAGCCGCCCTCAACAAAACGGATAAATTGGATTTGGGGGCCCTTTTTGGGACTGGTCCCGGACCCTTAAGAGCCACTGGACCAGGAGAACAAGTGATCACAACGCTAGGGGGGGGGGGCCTAGGGATGGCTAGCAGAGATCATTTGGGAGGCAGGCCAACTAGCAGGGATTTTTAGGAATACGTCCCTTTGTTGTAGCTTAAAACCATTTTTCGGGTAAATTGAGCGGCAGGCTAGCAGAGAGTACTTGAGAAACTAGATTTTGGCTTGTTTAATGAAAAAAATCCGATTCCTCCACCCCGTGTCACCACCCCTTTAATCCCTGCCAGTAAATCTCTCGGCGTTGTTGTCGCCGAGGAGACGGAATGCCCGAGAAAAAGAGTGACCAGCCCGAGGGGCCTTAGGGCCCAAGAAAAGGAGAGGGCCCGCCGGGCCGCTTCCTTTTTTTTGGACCCCGGCCGACGGATCGATCGTCGTGGGGCCCAGGGGCCAGGGGGAAATCCCCCCGGCCATTCCCCCATCCCAAGACGTCTTGAATGCCGCGGGGAATATAGTAATATACTTGCTAGCATTATGAAGATTCCCCAATGGTCTCTGCTAGCTTGCTCTTTCCATTTACTCAACAAATTTGCTAGCCTGTCTCTTCCTCTTCACAAAATTTTTGCTCGAATTTCTAAGACGCCGGAAAAAGTAACGCTGGTTCGAGGTTCCAACCTTTCCTCAATGATCTTTGCCAGCCTGCCTCCAAATTTCCTAAGGAGCCATTGCTCGTCTGCCATAGTCCAACCAGGTTCTATAAGAAACCGTGCTAGCCTGCTCTTTTGGGCTTTCAGCGATGAAAAGCTTCTAGTTTGCCACAGGTTCTCAGAATTTTTTTAAGTTTAGAGGGCATAAATTTTGCTAGCGTATATGCAAACCCAGCCAGCGAATCAATTGCCTCAAGGCTCTCTGCTAGCCTGCCCCTTACTTTCGGAAACCCAAAGAGTGTTTTCGTTGTTTCCATAACGTCTTAGCCACTCAAATGATCTCTGCTAGCTTGCCTAGGCTTGCTTTGCGGCCGAAAAATTTCTCCGAAACTCCAGAGCGTTCAAGCTCCTCAAGAATTTCTGCTGGCACGCGTTAAAAGTGCCTTAGGGTTTCCAAGTTCATGGTTGAATTCTTGGATTGAATCGCCTTTTTCCCCTTTTCACATTTTAAGTATCAACTACTTGTAAGCAACTTGAAAAGCTTCACCTTGCCTCTTCCGTTTCTTCCCAAAATACTCGAAATCCTATCGCACCGCTCTCAAAATGTACAAAACTTAAAATAGAATCTTTTACCATAGACATCAGCCTCTCGAATTACGCGTCGCGTGCTTTTTTCGGGGCGATCCCATGTGCCCTCTGGCTAAATAGGGGGGTTTCTTTGGGGGCCCCGGGGTGTGCTTCTGACGCAAAACGACGAGGTCACACGTCCATCTCGGGGTGAGGATTAAAAAGGGAGCACGAGCTCTTTTGGAATAGCTTCCTCAAGGCTCTCTGCTAGCCTGCCCTCCGCTCTCGCTCAAAAATTATTTCCTCTTTTCTAAGACGTGCGACGGTGTTTCCGGAATTCGTTCGAAAATTCCCACGAGACAACCTTTCAAGTGTAAAATATTTTTGAGCGATTTTTCAAGGGCCTCCCTCCCGCGGATAATGGCCCTTTAGGGGATTTGCATCCAGGAAATCCTTCCCCACCCTGGAAATGGGCGGGGTTTTGCCTGAACTTCCCTTAAATGGGCTGAAAATTGTCATAAAAGCAGCATTCCCGACAGTATCTAAGCCTAAGCCTAAGCCTAAACCTAAGCCTAGCGTAAACTTCCACCTTCTCTCTCTTTCTCTCTCTCTCTCTCTCTCTCTCTCTCTCTCTCTCTTTCCCAGTATTCCAATTTCCAGACAGGCTTTTCTCGACTTATCTTTTCACTAAATCCCATTGTTTCCTTAGAAAAAACGAACAAAAGGGTTGGACTTCCGCCTCTCCCCCTAATGAGGCCTGGGGGCACGGCGGGAGCCGGATTTGATTATGCGTTCGGTGTAGCGTAGCGTCGTCTTTTTACGCGAGCGTCCCCGGGGGTTCATGCTCAACAGCGGGAGCTGCTTCCTGGATCATTTTTCGGGTCCTAAGTACCTTTTCCCGATTTTAGGAGGGGTCAGCTAGCAGAGATTATTGAGGAAGAGGTGCGAGCAGGCTGGCAGAGACCTTTTGAGAATTTTGCAGCTTTGCAAGCAATCCGAACCCATAAGTTGTTTACATAAGGGCAACGCGTCGGCAGCGTGACGTAGCAACTTTTTTTGGCTTTTCCACGCTTCCCCGAGGGGATTAATTACCGTAATCACGGGGCTGGTGCCTGGTCCACTTTCACAGGCTATAATCCCGAGGTTTGGCTAAAATTTCTGGACTTTCCTGCGACTTTTAGCGATTTTCCTCTGATTTTCTTCTTGCTCCTTTGTATAAATTGAGATATGTTATTTACAGTATCCTCACCCCTCTCCGAAGATGATCATCAACGTTTGCGCGTCCAGTGTGACCCGGGAACCGGCATACTACGTCTCGAATTATTACTATACTGATGAAGCCACGTCGTCGAGTAAAGACGACGAGACGGCTTCGGAGTCGGATTCGCAGGTGAGTCGAAGCCAAAGCCTAAGCCTAAGCCTACCTTCCGCAAACACCGCTCGTAGCTTTCCAAAACCTAATTTTCAGAGCTCCGAACACCCGAAAAAACCGTCGACCACCTTGAAGTCGTCGGACAAAGAGCCAACGATCCCGAAGAAAGAGTTCAAAAAGACGAAGCTGTTCGAGAAGATTCGGCAGATGATCACCAAGCGGAAATGATTTTACTAAACAAATTTTATCCCTTTTTGACCGTTTCCGATTGCTCCCCCGGCATCATTTTCGATTCCTTTTTGATATCTTCGTGCTCACCACCGTCCAAAAATATTTAAAATTTTTTTAAGGATTTTGATAACTTTCTAAAGCCTCAAAAGTTTTATGGTCCTGAAAATTATTCAAATTCAAAATCTCCCGCTTTTTATAATTGCGTAATTGTGTGTTTTTACCATGTGTTTTCGTGCTTCTATTTTGGGTATAATCCACTGTATATCCCGTTGAATTAATTAATCGCCGTGGTTTTTCTAAAAATTTTTCTGGTTTTTCTACCTTTTCTCTGCTTTTCTCGGATTCCCCTTGATCTCAAAAAACTGACCCGACTGTCGGGCGATTCTTAAAAATGCACATTTTTCATCGATAAAATTCTTGAAAACTGAACTAAAACTACAAAATAACATACGCCATTTATGCAAATTAAGACTAAAGGGAACGTGCCAAAAGCCAGTGCCCTTCGCCCCTTCTTAAAGGGGCTCCGAAATCTGGTCCACGGCCCCCTGCTGTGATTCCTGGCAAATAGCCAGATGCGGCCGCAACGCGACCGCTCCGCATAATCTTTTGCCTCTGTTTGGAAGCGAAAACACTTGAATTTTAAAATTCTGATACTATTTTTGAAATCATCAACGAATTTTAATCATTCCAGACTTTTAAATTATGAAAATTGATTAGAGAATCACCGAGATCGAGAGATTGGGTGCCTTACAAGGCATTACGACATCTAATCGCCGCCCACTCAAAATGTCGTTTTTGCCCAACAAAGAATTCGGTTTTTCTCAAACATTTTACGTTTTTTCGCAATCAAATCACTATTTTGGCACTCCTCGGCAGTGACCCTTTCGTTTTTTGACCCGTAGGTTCAATCCCCGCACGCACGAATTTTGACTTCTGAGCCCCTTTAAAAGTCTCTAGTAGTTGCCATTCTGCCAATTTTTGACGGGTTTCTGATAGCTGGCTTTTTCATGAGGTTCTCAAGGAATCTCTGCTAGCCTGCCCACTTAAAAAATGCGTGCCAAGCGCTACCTGTTTTATTAATTTGCATACAACAAAGCATCACTTAAATCGGCTTTATCTAACGAAATTTCCTAGCCCCAGGCCAGCGCATTTCCGCCCCTCATCCCCAATGAGCATTAATCTTTTTGTTGAGGAGCTGAAAGAGAGGGGCAGTAGAAATGGATGGAAAATGGAAAGGAAATGGGCTTTGTTCCGGGATTGAGAGAGAGAGAGAGAGAGAGAGAGAGAGAGAGAGAGAGAGAGAGAGAGAGATGGAGAAATGACCTCTACCCATCCCCTCCAAGAGCACACCATCTCACAACAAAACAAGTATACAACAAGGGGGGAATAGGAAATGGCTGATTGGCTGGGAAATGTGTGCCCCCGGGGGGAAGGAATGATTTGTCCAAGTGGTCAATTCAGATCATTATCTGTAAAGCGGGTTGATAGGGGGGGTCTGCGCTAAGCCTAACCCTAAGCCTAACCTAAGCCTAAGCCCAAGCACAAGCCCAACCCTAAGCATAAGCATAAGCCTACGCCCCAGCCACGCCTAAGCCTAAGCCAAGCCAAGCCTAAGCTAACCTAAGCCTATGTCTAAGTCCAAGCCTAAGCCTAAGCCTAAGCTCAAGCCCAGCTATGTCTAGACAAGCTAGCCGAGATTCTTTTCAAGAGACGAATATCAAGGAGCAAGCTAGCGACGCAGGCTAGCAGAGATCAATTGAGAGGTGAAGTCAGCTAGGGAGAGCTAGCAGAGACACTCTCTGCGACTGATCGGACTGCTAGGACAATGGGCAAGCTAGCAGAGACCATTTCGGAGCTGACACCGCGTTTCTGGAGAGGCAGGCTAGCAGAGAACCTTGAGGAATTATTTCACCAAACTGTTTTTGTATTACTTAACCATTTTTTATTTTCTGCCGATTATCTGCTGGCAGCCACGAAAATTGCAATCGCAATAAAAAGGCAGGGCGAGAGAAAAAGGGAAGCCGGAACAGGTTCTCGATTCCAGCTGACCATTGTTATTTCGAAAAGTGTATCTATCGAGAGAGAGACAGAGAGAGAGAGAGAGAGAGAGAGAGAGAGCAAGAGAGAGACGGAAGCAGAGAGATAGCAACAAAATACTCGTATATTTTGACAGGTATCGTGCCCATCTCCCCGTCCCGACTTCGTTCCAACCATCCGCCCCGCTACTTATCATATAAAGAGTGGCCAGCCGGGATCCGGGGGATAATTTTTGTTTTTGCTATGGAGAAGCTTTATTTTTGTAATCTGCATTTTTCAGAAGTTGCCCTCTCTCTTCTCTTTCTCTCTCTCTCTCTCTCTCTCTCTCTCTCTCTCTCTCTCTCTGCTGATTTTTGACCTTCAGCGAAACCATTTTCCCTCAGTCATTGGCTATTTGGCGAAATCAAAGTCATTTTCCTTAGTAAACTTGTCAATTTGTCAAATTCAAATTTCGTAACGGGTTGTTTGTCATAGAAATTCGTCAGTATAGCCTATAAAAACACTCAATATGAAAAAATTTTCTATATTGGATTTTCTGGATTTACCTATCATGCGGTGCCTAAGCCTAAGCCTAGCCTAGGTCTAAGCCTAATAACTGAAGTCTGAGCCTAAGTCTAAGCCCAAGCCGAAGCCGAAGCCTGACTTGAAAAAAATAACCAATAAATTTTTCGATTCAACGGAACCTCGGCCTCCTCTTTTCCCCTCGTTCCCCCGCTCCCAAAAATGTGCTCGCTTTTCATTTCACTGCTTAATTGCCCGCAGGGGGTGTAGGAGAAGGGGTGTGAAACTCACGGCATTCGGTGCATTATAATCGGGGAGAGAGAGAGAGAGAGAGAGCAATTTTAGGGCGGAGATGCTGACCAGCAGCATACTTTCTTCTCCTCCTCCAGCTCGTGCTCCTCCTCCCCCGCATTGCCATTGTCCCGAGCCCCAGGGCCGAGCTCAACCCAGTTCATCTATCCTTTTCCTGTCCTCGAAAAAAAAAATTTGGTTTTAAAGGGACGTTCAAGTCAGATTCATAGTTTTAATTACGGTATTTTACTGTCCACCTCCCTTTAAAGCCTAGTTTTGAAGCTTTGCAAAACTGCATCCGCCCAAAAATTTTGATTTTGATCTTGAGATGATCATGCTCAGCTAGCTAATCCTATTTTTAAAGTCCCATTGGAGTCGAACCCTCGGCTGAAATTATCGTGTTTCCTGTCATGTTCCCTTTAAGCTTGCCTCAGCCTCTTTCTGGCACCGTCTACAATCTTCACAGTGTAATTTCTCCTTTTAAACGAGCCTTTTAAAGTCAATTTCCCGTACCTATTACGGTAAAACACTTAATCTGCACCTTTTTGTTTCCGCATAATTTTTTTGTGTCAAGCTTTCTCTCGCTCGCTCTCTCGCTTTCTCTCTCTTCTCTCTTTTCTCTCTCTCTCTCTCTCTCTCTCTCTCTCTCTCTTTCTCTCTTCATTGTCAATTTAAGCTCCACAATGCGACAACACGTACTTTTGGCGCTTGTCGTCGCCACAGCATACGGTAGGTTGGGAGGCTTCTTTTAGAGGATTTTGACCGCTGCGGGCAAGTAAGCATCGAATTTTCATATGCTAATTAGCATACTGGATGCCTTTAGGTGCCCCCACAAATTCCACCGGCTGCCTGGAAATGTGCATCGAAAATCGCGACTCCATCGTTGCAGCCAATGATTTGCGGAATTTCCGCAGGGTCGTCGTCGATGAGGAGAATTTTTGCAAGTAAATAATATATTCACTCTCAAATCCTTTATTTACTAGCTCCTCTTCCTGATATTTGTTGTATTTTAGTGTTTGGATACTTTGGCTTCGATTCAAATGCAATTTTGGCATTAAAATTAATTTTTAAGATGTTTCAAGCTTCTGTAACATTGCTTTTTAGCTTTATTCCAAACCAATTTTTTGGTAGCTTTTCAAGCTAATTGTGAATCTTTTTCAAGTCTCACAACTCATGCAAATCCGCTCCTCCTTATTTCCCCAAAAATAGGGCATGCAAATTTTGCCGGGCTGAGATTTGCCGGGCCGGGCTGACCGGATTTTGAGAAAACCCAGACGTCTAATTTATGAAAATTTGACGTGGCAGGCTAGCAGAGATGTTTGAGGAAAATTCTTTCAGATATTCGTAAAATTTATAAAATTTCTAAACTCATAAATTCTAGAAACTATGCCGACGTCTCCAAGTGCGGTGCAGAGTGCCAGGAAGAAGCGGAATTGACCGAAAAAATCCGAATGGCGTCTGAAATTTGTCGTCAAAAAGGTCTTATTTTATTTTTCGCGTAATTAGTATATTCTACAGATTTGGGAGCTGCGAGAGGATGCCTAGAAAAGGATGAGGAAGAGCCCGTCAATAGGTGCCTAACGGAATGCGGAATGAAGGTCGAGGAGACGAGTAAGAACATTTTAAAGGGCCGTTAAAGCTGGGCTTTTAGAAGCATTCCGCCTCGACGGGAATCCCGCTTCACCAATCAATCCTGGAGCTGAGATGGATCAGCTTGGATCAAGCTGCCGGTTGGTTTTTAGGGGCAGGCTAGCAGAGATTGTTGAGGAAGAGGAGAGGGCAGGCTAGCAGAGATTGTTGAGGAAGAGGAGAGGGGCAGGCTAGCAGAGATTGTTGAGGAAGAGGAGAGGGCAGGCTAGCAGAGATTGTTGAGGAAGAGGAGAGGGCAGGCTAGCAGAGATTGTTGAGGAAGAGGAGAGGGCAGGCTAGCAGAGATTGTTGAGGAAGAGGAGAGGGCAGGCTAGCAGAGATTGTTGAGGAAGAGGAGAGGGCAGGCTAGCAGAGATTGTTGAGGAAGAGGAGAGGGCAGGCTAGCAGAGATTGTTGAGGAAGAGGAGAGGGCAGGCTAGCAGAGATTGTTGAGGAAGAGGAGAGGGCAGGCTAGCAGAGATTGTTGAGGAAGAGGAGAGGGCAGGCTAGCAGAGATTGTTGAGGAAGAGGAGAGGGCAGGCTAGCAGAGATTGTTGAGGAAGAAGGGCAGGCTAGCAGAGATTGTTGAGGAAGAGGAGAGGGCAGGCTAGCAGAGATTGTTGAGGAAGAGGAGAGGGCAGGCTAGCAGAGATTGTTGAGGAAGAGGAGAGGGTAGGCTAGCAGAGATTGTTGAGGAAGAGGAGAAGGCAGGCTAGCAGAGATCTCTTGACGTCAGTCTCTTAAATTTCTATTTCAGCCACCACATCTGCGTTCTCCAGTGCTCCACCAGACTTCTAAGCACAGCTTGCCCGGCTGCTGCTCAGCTCTTCAAAGATCTTCTCAAATTCCAGATCAACAACGGCGTCCAGGGGATGGAGGCGCAAAAGTCGAAGGTTCTTTCGTTGTTAAATTTAAGTTTTGAAATTAGGCCTTCTTCGCTGCCCTGCCAGAGGAGTGCAACTTCATGAAGAGTACCGACGACTTGGAGAAGGTAATTTCGGGAATAGGAATTGCTCTAGTTAATTTTCAGCTGATCTCTGTCGATATTTCCAAGGTGACGGCCCCGGTCAACTTGGAGGAGGTCGGTAAAGTTGGAAGTATTTCGTGATTTGGATAAATACGACAGAATCCGATTCTGACCTTGGGTTTTTCAGAAATTCGAGTCGAGCACAATCCGGGTGAATGTTGATGAGGAGACATCCAAGGTAATTCAATCCTAGACTTAACCTAAGCCTACGCCTAAGCCAACACACCTTTTCAGTTCGAAAAAGCGGAAGAGGAAGAGAAAAAGGATGGCGCGAAAACGGATTCTGATGAATTCACGCTATCTGAAGCGCTGGACAGCGTCGAGTCGACGAAGACCGACGGAGAGGTCAGCCGAAATTCACTGTTAACCAAGATAATCGACTCGTAACACCTTAATCTTCATTCGGGAATAAAGCGGGTTGAATCTTTAAATTTCGAGGTCTACACAAAATCGAAAAAATTAGAAACCCTTCATATTTTGAGATAGTTTTCCTCTAGAAGTCCCTCGTCAGCTCGGAGGATGAGACCGAGATCCCGCGAGTTGTCGTCAGCTCTTCTGAAGTTCCGGCCATCGACGAGGAGGCGATTGCCGCTCGATTTGACGCTATGAATAAGGTATCTTTTTGTCCATTAGCTTTTGTTTGTTGTCAATTCCTGTAAAAACGGTTTAAGGACCGGAAACCCGATGAGCCGCTCTTCTTGGCAAGCAGGGACGCGAAGCCAGAGGTATTTTCATAGCCTGAACACACAAGGCCAAAGCCTAAGCTAAGCCTAAGCTAAGCCTAAGCTAAGCCTAAGCTAAGCCTAAGCCTAAGCCTAAGCCTAAGCCTAAGCCTAAGCCTAAGCCTAAGCCTAAGCCTAAGCCTAAGCCTAAGCCTAAGCCTAAGCCTAAGCCTAAGCCTAAGCCTAAGCCTCAGCCTACGCTTAACATAAACCTAAGCCTAAGCAGTTACTTTATGCAAATTTTTAAGGAGGAACCCGTTGACGAGGCTACTACCCACGCCTTCCAGCCCGAAGACGATTTTGTGCCTTTTGGAACTCCCGGAAATGCCACTGAGGATGCGGTAGGTAGCAGGTTAACAGAGATCCTTTGGAAAATCACCCTCCTTGCCTTGACAATCCCTTTCAGGCTGAGGTGGCCACAGAAAACCCAGCTGTTGCTCAAACGGAGGAAGACGTCAAGATCGTTAACCAGCCAACCACCCCTGCGGAGAAGCCTGTAGGTCACTCAGATTTTAGATTTTCAAGGGACCGCAACAAGCTCATTTTCATCAAAGATTGTATTCACGTTCGCTTCAGCTCCAAATCGATGGGGAAACAGAGTCGGAGGAGGTCACTGCCAAGATGGAGGTGATCAGCAGCGAGGTCAGCATTGAAACTTTAAGTGTACAAATTTATATTCAGGAAACGGAAGAGGCCCCGGTTACTGTGAAGGCTGAAAAGGTACTTACTTAGATGTTCTCTGCTAGCCTGCCCTCTCCTCTTCCTCAACAATCTCTGCTAGCCTGCCCTCTCCTCTTCCTCAACAATCTCTGCTAGCCTGCCCTCTCCTCTTCCTCAACAATCTCTGCTAGCCTGCCCTCTCCTCTTCCTCAACAATCTCTGCTAGCCTGCCCTCTCCTCTTCCTCAACAACCTCTGCTAGCCTACCCTCTCCTCTTCCTCAACAATCTCTGCTAGCCTGCCCTCTCCTCTTCCTCAACAATCTCTGCTAGCCTGCCCTCTCCTCTTCCTCAACAATCTCTGCTAGCCTACCATTTTTTCAGGCCACATCCGAGGACGATCGTTCGATCCAGGCCGGTTTAGCCGGTATGGAGCATTCCGGAGAGGTGGAGAAGAACGCTACTGATGCGAAGGAAGAGGAGAAGAAGGAAGTAAGTTCTGTATGTTAAAGTTCTAAAAAATTATATTGCTTTCATCCGGTAAATTTCAGGAAGCCACCACAGAGCCGATGCTCGTCGTGAATGCTCAGGAGGAGGAGCACAAGCCAGAAGAAGAAGCTTCGGTGACCTCTGAAGTTATCACTCAAAGCCCCGAGCCGGTAGGTGGAAGGAGGGCAGGCTAGCAGAGATTGTTGAGGAAGAGGAGAGGGCAGGCTTTCAGAGATTTTTCAGGAAGAGGAGAGGGCAGGCTTTCAGAGATTTTTCAGGAATTCAACATCAAAATTTGCCATTTAGGTGAGCTCATCGAACGGACTTTCCCTTGGCGTCGTCACCCTCATCTCGGCTCTCATGTTTGCCTTCTAAAACTCGCGTTGTCTACAGTATTCCTCGGGTCTGACAATTGTCTAAATCGTTTTTAAGCTGTTTTTCAAGGCACCATAACCTATCTTTTTCACGAATTAGAATCCCACGACAATACCGGTACCTCAAAAATGCTTTTTTTTGCCTGAAATCTGTATTTTCACCTATCCTCTTCCATTTGTGTGTACATATTAGACAACAGTCACGATAAATAATTTTATGCAAATAGGCTGAAATAGACGACCCTAAAATTACTGTGTCCTGTTTTTGACATTAAAATCAGCAAAAAAAGCGTTTTTGTATTTTCCGCGTTTAAAATGGCTGAAAATACTTTATCCAGTGCACAAAGTCAACCTTAAAACGCGTGAAACAGAAAAAAAAACATAGAAAAAGAAAGAACCCACAAAAAAATCAATGATTATGCAAATTAGTTGTAGCCCAGAAATGCATTAGAAAACTGTAAAAAATTCAGATATTTGTTGAGCAACGGAACGGGGACTCTGACGGGTACGGTATCACAATTATTCGTATACATAAAATGTAGCTGAATTAACTCAAAACGAGAGGGAGCGAGAAAGGGAGAGAGAGACAGAACGAGCGAGAGAGCAAGTGTAAGAGAGCGAGAGAGTGAGAGAGACGAGAGAGAGGGAGAGAGGGCGAAAGAAAGAAAGAGAGAGTGAGTGCTTGAAATCGAGAAATTTAAGTTCAATACGAGATAATCCACTTTAAAGGACCACTAAAGTCCAAAAATTACCCCCATCCCCATCCCTGATGCATGGTATATGCGTTGGTATTGCCTGGTGGAGGTAGGTAAGTGCCCGGGGGCTGTAGATACGAAGCTTGCGGCAAATACGAACCCCCGGAAAACGCTACGGCGGCTGCGGCGGCTGAAAACGGGTGTTCTTGGGTGAAATCGGCCAATTAACGTCAGTTTCCGCAAAAAACCCTGCTAGCTTGCCCAGCTCACCAATTTTCGCAAAGGATCACTGCTAGCCTATGCTGTCTATCCTGGACTTCATATATCTCTGCTAGCCTGCCAAACCCTGGCCTTGTACACCTACCGTGATACGGGTTCAGCTCCTGTGGGTACGGCTTTCCGTCTTTGACGACCATTTGCTAAAAATACGCATTAATGGATGCTTGTTAAATGCCAGATTTTAATGTTAGTAAAGTACTGAAAATGTGAGCTTTAATAATTTGTGCAAGTTACCTGTAATCTCCTAGTCGTAAATGCGGCTTGGTTTTGCATCGACTGGTGGAGGAGAGCTTGGTTAAGAGGCTTATCCGAGAGGGTCTTCTTGGTTTTGTACCTGAAAAGCCACTGTACACGATGCAATAAGCTTACTTAGACTTGCTAAGCTTCAAAAGCTTCAAATCCCGGCTTGTTAAGCCTGTAATCACAAAAAAGCGAAATAGCAGTGCAAAAATGAACTAATTGCATAAAAATAGCTAAAAATGGAAAGCCTAGGCCTAAGTCTAAGCCCAACCCAAGCCTAAGCCAAGCAAAATCAGCTAAAACCTACGAAATATCTGTCTTCAGCCTGTAGCGATGATTTTGGAACCAGATCTTGATCTGATTCGGCGTTAGACCAATCGTCATTGCCAGCTCTTCACGTTCCGCCGAATTAAGATACCTAAAGAAGTGTGATTAATGCGTTTTGAGGACTGGAGCTCAGTCTGGGGAGCTAGCAGGGATTCTGGCTCTCATTCAAGCAAGCCTGGCTTTGCCTAGCAGTTTTGAAGTTTGATACGCACCTTTGAACCCGAAACCGCCTCTCCAGCTCGTACGTCTGGGCTTTAGTAAATAGCACGCGTCGTTTCCGCTTTCCCTTTTTGCCATCTAAAGGAAAAATAATTCAAAAATGATTTTTCAAACCTGGCCCGGGGGAGTCGGTCTCAATCTCCTCAGCAATCTCGGAGTCGCAGTCGAGTTTCAGGCTAAAAAGTCGCCTTAAATCCGAGTTTCCTCAATAATCTCTGCTAGCCTGCCCTCTCCTCTTCCTCAACAATCTCTGCTAGCCTGCCCTCTCCTCTTCCTCAACAATCTCTGCTAGCCCGCCCTCTCCTCTTCCTCAACAATCTCTGCTAGCCTGCCCTCTCCTCTTCCTCAACAATCTCTGCTAGCCTGCCCTCTCCTCTTCCTCAACAACTCCTACCCGCCCTCTCCCTTCCTCAACAACTCTAGCCTGCCCTCTCCTCTTCCTCAACAACTCTGCTAGCCTGCCCTCTCCTCTTCCTCAACAACTCTGCTAGCCTGCCCATCCTCTTCCTCAACAATCTCTGCTAGCCTGCCCTCTCCTCTTCCTCAACAACCTGCTAGCCTGCCCCTCCCTTCCTCAACAACTCTGTAGCCCGCCCTCCCTCTTCCTCAACAACTCTCTAGCCTGCCCCCCCTCCTCAACAACTCTAGCCTGCCCCTCCCTTCCTCAACAACTCTGTAGCCTGCCCTCTCCCTTCCTCAACACTCTGTAGCCTGCCCTCTCCTCTTCCTCAACAATCTCTGCTAGCCTGCCCTCTCCTCTTCCTCAACAATCTCTGCTAGCCTGCCCTCCTCTTCCCAACAACTCTAGTCTGCCCTCTCCTCTTCCCCAACAATCTCTGCTAGCCTGCCCTAACTATCTTCAATAACCTACCCAGCCTTGCTATCCCCGGCCACCGAATCCACCGTAATCTTCACATCCGGGCTCTGGGTTACTGTGAGGCTTGTGGGTTGCGTGAATGGGTCCGCAGGGGGCAGCGTGTACATCTGCGAGGAGGAAGGGACTGAAAAAAATCAGATAATGCGTTCAAATCCATAGAACTTTTGGCTTGCGCGTCCCTCTAAGCCTTTAATTTGCATAAATCTTACAGCCGATGAACTCACGCGTTCCGGGCGTAAAATAGCCGGCATCGTAGGGGAGGTAGGTGCCGGTTGGCTGGCCATCCAGGGAGAAATGCGTCGTCGAGGGGTAGCCTAAAGTTAATAGGTTTTAAATGTATCGGATAGTCAAACGAAAAATCCTCAAAAATCTCTGCTAGCTTCCCTAATCTCGACTCCGTGTTTCGATTCCTAAAAGATCTCTGCTATCTTGCCCGATTTTCTCAAAAATCTCTGCCAGCCCGCCCCCACTAATAGCGAAAGCTGTTTGGATCTGGGGGGCGAAGTGTGTCCAGCGGGCCGAAGGACCCGAGGAGGATATTTGCTGAGATGCGAAGAAGAAGCCCCCCTTTTGAAGAGAGAGATGAGAGAGAGAGAGAGAGAGAGAGAGAGAGAGAGAGGCTGAGAGTGAGGGATATGGAGCGGGAAAGAGATTTAGAGTCGAAAAGATGGGCAGGGATGCGCCCCGCACTCGAAATGGCCCCCCGATCCAGTGGGGGGATGTGGACAAACGGAGCCCCACGGAATACCGTAACCTTGGCCGCTAGAAAATTGCTTTCTTCCCGTTAGCCGGCCACAGTTTAGTGCGGGATGGGGAAAATCGATATTGGGATATCCGGAAATCGGATGTTTTGGCTCGGAAAAAATGAGGGTGAGAAAGCGAGAGAGAGCGAGATAGAGACAGAGAGAGCGAGAGAGAGAGAGAGAGAGAGAGAGAGAGAGAGAGAGAGAGAAAGAAAGTTGCACAGAAATGCAAGCTAAAGTCCGACGAAACCAAACCAAGCGTAACCTAAGCCTCAGCCTCAGCCTAAGCAAGCTTAAGCCTAAGCCTAAACTTAAGCTTAAGCCAAAGCCTAAGTCCAAGCCACAGCCTACACAATAACGAAATCTTGTTCTACCCACCAGTCAACAACGGCAAATGATCGGTCCACGAGCTCCTGTTTCGCATCAGCGTGTGCTTGGCGCGAAGTGGGTCGTCGGACGAGGCGGGCGGCGTGTCCCATTTGAACAGTTCGGTTGTGCTAAAAAATCCGGTTATTTTCTGAAAATCGAAATTTCGAGATTCTAGCGACTATTAAAAAACTTGAAAGTTCAATGAAGGAACAGGGATTTAGACCGCTATGCTATTTTGTAAATTTCGGGAGTGACAATTAGGTAAATTACTGGAGATTAAATGTCCTATATCCCATTTTCCGCTTTAAAGGCATGGTGACAGCTTATATTGTGGTGTAAGTAGACGTTTAAAAAGTTTAATTGGATATAAAGACGCAAAATTTAGTTTTGCAAAGGTCGAACCTTGGGTGCTATGCTAATGCACTTCCGGGGAGCTGTCCGGTATTGATGGTAGGCGGTTACGAGGCGCCCCGCTCAAGTTGCTTATTTTTTAGCTTAATCCTAGCCAAAACTTCACGCCAACTATGCTTAGTTTGGTCTTAGGATTATGCTTAATCCAAAAGTTAAGCTTATCTAAAGCTCTAAATTGTCTTACGAGGCCAAAATGGGGTCATTTAGGGCTTACTTAGAGCTAAGCTTAAAGTGTCTGAAGCTAAGCTTCGGCTTAGCTTTTCCAGAGGCTTAAAGTTAAAAACGGCATTTGGAGCGCCTTGTAGTCAAAATCCGGACTGCCCCCCTTTAAGTGCATTAGCGCCGAATTTTTGGTTCCAAGCCAAAGGTAACTACGGATTTCAGGGCGTAGTGCCAGCTAACCAGGCAGAAATCGTCAGTTCAAGTTCGGTAATTTGTGAGAGCTTCTAAAGGGATGGTGCCAACAAGCTGGATCAAATCTGAATTCCCAAACAGCTGACCCTAAACTTAAAATGAAGTGAACGTCCAGACCCCACGAAACAAACTCAAAAGCCACCCCTCCAGGCCGGGGCCGGCACTCAATGCCAAATGAGAGGTATCCCCCCCCCATCCCCATCAAGGTCGAGGGCGGGCTAGCAGAGATCCTTTAGGAGTGTCAGGCTCGAGTGTCTCCAGCCGACATGGATCCCCCCTTGATGGCACTCACCTCGTCTCCTTTGGCTCGAGCACCGCCGCGGTGGATGAAGCAACCGGGGCCGGGGTCGAGCTCGCCAGGCTCTGCACGTTGAACATCAGATATTTAGAAGGGAGGAGAGGTACTCACTCGGAATGGTGCTCG